AGCTTTAAGTTGTTAAAGTTAACACAAGCTCACATAAAAAACAAAAACGTTGAGATGGTTGAACCGGGAAACATAATGAAGAGAGCAGAACACAAGCGGGTTTACCAGCGAAAGACGGGGAACAACCCCATTGGTGTTTCTCGAACTTGACGCAAACAGTCTTGGTCTCTGTAACGCATTTATAGTCTAGACATTTTCATATGGGGCGTACATGAAGACACGCGGGGTCCAATGGACCAGCAGTGGTCGCCGCGCGAGATTATGCGTCCCATGACTACTCTCGGAGCTGCGGCTCTGCGCAAAGGCCAGGCATTCGCGAACCATATATCAAACGGGCTGACAAGAATTATGCAGCATTTAACTGCAGCTGGCGTGTGAGGTGAATAACACCAGCAGTTGTGTGCCAATCGAGATGGTTGGCAAACAGCTGCATGAGTGGTGAAGTGACCGGAGCGGCCTGTGCCCTCGGAGCCCACCGCATTTTCACTGTCCATCGCATCTGTACAAACACGCCACACGCCCAGAACGGCCCGGAAGCCTGCAATGTGCGCAGAAACGCTCACGCCAGTGCGATGCCTTCAGTTTCGCCCTGGGATCTGGACAATCGCTCCTGGGTCGCTGGTAAATCACCGTCCTGACGGCGCCCAGCGCGCTGAGGTGGTCGGCGGTTGGTAAGCCTCGGTGTTGCTGGAGATACCTCCGATGGGCGCCTCCCGAAGCTCCGGCTGGCCTCGCCGCCAGTCGTGCCGCCGGACCGCGATACCGGAGAACGCCACGCGCCTCCGGCCGCCTCTTATATTCACGTCTTAGCGCTCATTTCTGTGTTTTTTCCTCCAATTTTCCGGAGCTTCCAATTTAATTTCTCCGGCGGCGCGGCTTGATAGGAGGCCACGGGCGCGCCCAGCGACGGCGCGTGGGAGGCATGGCCCGTCCTAGCGTTTGGCACCCTCAGCTCGGCGGTCCGTCCCGACACGCGACCTCACGGCTGCCCTCGCTGCCGCCGCCCCTGCCGCCGCCGCTGGCGCCGCCTCTGCGCCGCCCGTCGGGCCGGCATCGATCGAGCGCGGCGTGTTCCACCCTTTCTTTCTCCGTCTGTTTAGCATTCCTAACTGTATAACGATTCGCCGCGACGACGCCGACGGGACGAGAAGCGCGCGCCGCGCCCGACAGCCGCCATTAAAGCCGGCGGCGGCGGCGGCGGGGTGCCCCCACCACCCGTCCCAACCCGAGTACTCCGCCGCCGGCTCCGGGCTACCGCCCCGGGCCGCCGGGCCGGGTCAGTTACTACCGTATATATATATATATATATATATATATATATATATATATATTATATGGATGTATATAATACATGGGTTCTTAAAGTGGTCCCCTGATTTGATGAAGCCATCGGCTGGTACGATTTTCGTTGCGGGGAGTTGCCGTGGATAAACTCGGATTTCATTGCACATCATGACGTTCTGCTGTAGAATGGTGCTTTGTCCTTTCCGACCCGTCTTTTCTGACTGGATTTCAGTTCAAAAGAGTTTTTTGTAGTCTATCGGCATCGTTCGTGTTTTCTTGGCAACACCAAAGCAGGCAGCTTTTCGTCGCAGAGGCTGGAGACTGATATCAAAACGCTCTCCCGTTATCCGATCTTTGATAACGCGAATGAAAAGATGCTTCAACTGTTTGAAGGATTTTTGTCCCTTACTCCAGTGAGGGTTTTGGCAGCTGGGGCTCATCGGTTTTATCACGTTTTAATGATAGTCTGGCGCCACTAGACAAACTTTATGGAAACAGTTCCATTGACAAACGATATCGAAATGGGCAGTAAAGCCCCCGATGAAAGTCAGCACCATAAAGCGATGCAGTAGATGAAGAGACACGCACACACAAGAAACTTATAGGGCCTCCGATTAAGTCACAGGGTCTGAAGGCTGTTGAAAGCAATGAGAGGAACCAAACCTTTGCCGTTACAATACTGGAATCGTCGTAACTGTTGTGGGGATGAGATATCTTTCGGTGTCGATATTCCTTGGTGTCTACCAGGTCCGGTCCAGGTCCGGTCTATCAGGGAGGGAGGGGGGAGGGGAAAGGGGCATCACCGACGCTTTGGTGCCCCAACTGTTGCAGAGCTGTGCCAAGTTTGGCTGTGCTCCGATTCTCACCGACCGACGACTTCGAATCGGCTCACCGGTCGGCAGCGTGTCAGCCCCGGACTGTTCGGCGTTGCTCATATCGAATGGGAGAGGGAAGGGAAGGGAAGGGAATACTTTGGTCTTTATGGGCCACCGTGTCCATGGCAAAGGCATGACTGTGGATTCTTCACCGAATCGGGTCCCGGGTTCTGGTAGGACGAACTGCGTTTCGTGTTCGGTTCACCGCGCAGTAGCAGTACTTGTAGGCAGGCGTCCGTGATCGTAAGGTGCTTAATGCGTTACAGACAAAATAATCACGAGCTTTGAAGCAGTTGCTTTGCTGGTGGCAAAAGGTGTTGCCACCGTCAGACAAACGTGATGCGATCGGCCATCGCCTTCGTTACGACTTGCGAGCTAGCACGTTGCGTTTGCATCCATTGTTGAATGGGTCCAGCAGTGGCCATGTCATGGAAGCAGGCTTCAGTATGCCAGACCCGTCCGGCGGTTCTATGGAGGGATCAGCCGGGCCATGAAGTCTGCTGAATCAATGTGGTGCGTTCAAACGCCAGCGTTGTGCGCGCAGCAGCAGCGACACACGGGGACGGCGCATCCATCAATGTGAGCAAGCCCGGCCGCATGGCTCCGGCATCAGGCTAATGCCACGGGCGTGTGGCGTTCGGGGTAAAACTAAATTGATGTCCGGATCTGGAGCTCTTAAATTGACGTCTGGCTGTCAAGTTGGGAAGGAGGGGCCAAGTATCAAGTTCGGGAACTGCAACCCACTGCTTTCCAGATACATATCGAACTACGCTGTATGCTTTAAGCATTCTGAAAGTCCGCGACTCGCCGACTAATGCAGTGTGGCGGCACCGGCTAGCGCTATATCTGGCTGCTCATAGTTAACTGCCGGCGGCTCTACAGATGTGTTCAGCGGTGCTAGTGAGCACTGTGGTTTTAGGCTAATGGGCCGGCTGTGGCGTGCAGCAGTGCAGCGGTCGGCAGCCTGTGAACGCGGCCGCCTGTGAGAGGGGCCGTCGTTACCGAGGTGTGTTGGGGCGGGCCTGAGGTCGACGGACTGGGCTCCTGAGCGGTGCCGGCGCCACGGTACAGCGGCGGGGACCCCTGACCTCGCGCCGTCTCCCGTCTCGCTTGAAATGTCGCGGCTTCTCTGCGTCATCAGTCGAACTTACCCAGCTTTGCCACAGCGCCGCTTTTAGAGCTCTGGAAACTGCCAAGGGCTGGATTGCAGCAGTGCAGTCAGACAAACGTGATGCCTGGAGACAGGACAGCGTAAGTGGCCTTGTGATTGCGGCGCTGGGCTCCCGACGAGAGATCCGGGCTGGGCTCCCTCACCTGCGTCGACAGATAGCTTACGCATCATTATCGTGATGACAATCATGCAATGAAAAACCGCTGGACTGGCTACCGTGATCAGTTTCCACAGAGGTGCACTTACTTGGGCAAGTGTACTTAGGTCAGAAACATGACCCTGCACGCCACTGTCGGAGGACACGACCTCGCGGCGCCCGGCTGTCGGAGGACACGTTAGCACACCCTGGCTGTTGGAGGACACGACTCCGCAGCTCCCGGCTGTCGGGGGACACGACCTCGCGGCGCTCGGCTGTCGGAGGGCACGTTAGCACACAGCCCGGCTGTCTGAGGACACGACCCCGCGGAGCTCGGCTGTCTGAGGACACGTTAGCACACCCCGGCTGTCGGAGGACGCGACCCCGCGGCGCTCGGCTGTCGGAGGACACGACCCCGCGGCGCTCGGCCGTCGGAGGACACGTTAGCACACCCCGGCTGTCGGAGGACACGACCCCGCGGCGCTCGGCTGTCGGAGGACACGTTCCCACAGCGCTCAGCTGGCCGCCGCCGCCAGCCTGATCGCATTCATTACGGCCGCCCGACGCCAGATAAATGGTCCAATCTATATTGAAAGCGCAGACGGTGCGGCATTAAATCTGTATAAAATTCCCCTTAACCGAGGTGTCCCGCTGGCTGGCGCGCGGACCTCTCCACGGCTAATTGCGGCCGAATGGAATGAGTGCTAATCGGCGGCCGAGCCGCTTCGTAAGTCCCCCCCCCCCCCCTCCCTCTCCTGGAACGGCGATTTACTACAGCTCGTGTGGCGCTGCCGACAAGCGCCTCTGACTAACCCTGGCCCGGCTGGGCGACACAGCGGTAAGGACCGGGTGCCGCACTGCTCCGCACGGCTGGCGGGATGGCCGCCGTGTCATGCGAACGCTCGGACGTGTGTCGGCGTGGCCGCTGCCGGGCGTCGCTGGCCGGTGCGGTGGCGCGAGTGGCAGATGCTGTGGTGCAGGGTGGCCTTGGTAGGTTGACGGCCGGTAGGTGCGGACGGGTGGGCGATGCGATGACGTAAGAACCTGGGTGGCGATGCGGTACTGGCCGGGTAGTTGCGTGCTGTGCACCGGGTAGCCGAGTAGGTTGCGCTGACTCACTGGTCTGGGCGGTGGCTTGATGAGAAGCCATTGAAATGGGCGATGGTTTGGCACGGGCCGGGTTAAGGCCTGACGCAGCCCGGCCACTCGGTGTGCGAACGGTGCGTACAATCGGCCACATCTTCAGCTACTTCAGGGCCGGAGGGTCGCGAGGAGGCCCGCAGCCGTGCCAGTGTCACCTCCCGTGATTCCGGGAGGTGACACTTACTCACGCGTTCACTTCCAATGCTTTTTCAAGAACATGCGGCCTGAGCCGGCCACTGATGCTGGCGTCCGATATGACCTCCGACACCTCCGCTGCTGCTCTGTTGTGACTCTGATACTGACGCTGCTGCCCTGATATGATCCCAGCACCTTCGCTGCCGCCCTGCCGTGACCTCCGACACTGACGCTGTGACTGCTGTGCCCCCGACAGGCTGCTGCGGCGCGGCTCCATGTTCGTGTTCTCGCGGCGCCAGTTCGTGCGCCTGCTGGGCGTGACGGGCCGGTGGCGCGCCGACCGGCTGCTGGACCTCGGCTCCGGAGACGGGAGCGTGACGCAGATCATGGCCGAACACTGCGACCGCGTCAGCGTCACCGAGATCTCCTCCATCATGCGCAGCATCCTGCACGGCAAGGGATTCGCGTCAGTACCGCGTCACGCACACCAGTACCGCATCACGCACGTCAGTACCACATGACGCACGTCAGTACCGCGTCACGCACGCCAGCACCGCGTCACGCACGTCAGTACTACGTCACGCATGTCAAGCGCGTCACGCAAATGAGTATGGTGTCACGGACATCAGTATGGTGTCACGTACGTGAATATGGTGTCACGCACGCTAGTACGGCGTTATGAGCGTCAGTGCGGCGTCACGCACGTCGGTACCTCGTTAATGACAGTACTGTGTCAAGGCCAGGTTAGTACATGTCGGCTTGCGCGCTGCTATGACGTCTGGGGCCCAGAACGGCACAGCGATGATGACTTGCGCAGGAGGGCGGCGAACTGATGCGGCAGGCCGATGGATGGGCAGGCAGACTAGAGCACGGCTTTATGCGGGGACGCGCTGACATTTGGCGCAGGCAAAACGCGTGTGAAGGCCTCGGATGGCAGCTTGCCGAACTCACTCATCATCGGCGGCTCATCGTCTCACTCACTCACTCACTCACTCACTCACTCACTCACTCACTCATCTCAACTCATCGTCGGCGGCAGTCACAGCGTCGGAGCGTGCTCCGTTTTAGTGCGCGTGTGTGCCGCGTTAAATATATTGACGAGCTTCAATGGACCGGCCATGTGGGTATTAGCGCCGGCTGGCGTGAGGTCGCTGAGCACCTGTTGGTTCGGTCCACGGCGCGCTCCCTTACGCCACGTGCGCCTGTCAGTCACCCGCCGAATTTTGGGCCGCCAACCGCGCCAGCCCGGCCGCCGGTGGCGGCGTGGCGTCTGTACCCTTTCCGGACATCAGACGGAGCGGCGGCGGCGGCGGCGGCGACTTGCGCCACTCGGCGACGCGGCTGCGTAATTGTCGCGCCGTGACGGCCTAATGAGAGGTCGGCGGCCAAGCTGGCGCGGTGATTATCGCGCGGCGGTGTAGCGCCGGCCGCCGCCCGGTGACGGGTCGGGACGAGCTGCGGGGGGAGGAGGCCGGCTGGGACCTGCCGGCTGCTGGGCTACCGAGGGAGCGGCGTGGCGGACGCGCCGTACACCGCTCTCTCCCCGCTGCAGATGTTGTGGTACTGTTGGCTGGGCCTGAGAGTTTGGCGATCGACAAAACCGCCTTGGTTGTCTCAATTAGGTGGTGCCGGAGCTCGAGGCGGGTAACTGCGGTAGATCTCCCAGCGGTTTGGTGTCGCCTGGGTCCGTTCCTAGCCTGGCGCTTCGTATGGGGTCCCCTTGGTGCCCACTGGTTGGATGCAGTCACAGACTGTCGCAGTGGAAGCGACCACTGCTACGACTTGTGGTCGTGCGTGGCTGACACGGCTCTCAGTGTCGACATCCCTCTTGGGGCCAGAGCACCGCGCATGGGCATGCTCTCGATGATTGTTTCTTTAAGATGCCAGGCGATACCACCACGAGCCAGTCACAGGAGATATAAGTGGCCTGCACGCACAATGCACGCATCTGGCAACACCTAACATTGCACAATGCAATGGCTGTACTAATGTAACATTCGTAAACTCACAATTTGCATCTCATAACATTACGATATTGGCGTTATTTCTTCTGCAAGTAAACCCGCCTACAGCGCCACGCGTTCATTCACGCATTGTCGGTGACGCCCACATCGCGACGTTCATTGCCATCCATGCGGAACAGTGAACTGTCATGTGTAGTGTCACCAACCCGCGGTCTGCCGCGCCGGCTGCGACGCATGCGCCCTGAACACTGTCGTTTCGGCACTGCAGGGTGCTGGACGTGGACACGTGGCACGAGTCGCCGGTGCGGTACGACTTGATCACGTGCCTGAACGTGCTGGACCGGTGTGACCGGCCGCTGACGCTGCTGCAGCAGATGAGGGCGGCGCTGAAGCCCGGAGGTCTGCTGGTGGTGGCGCTGGTGCTGCCGCTGGCGCCCTACGTGGAACAAGGTCAGGCGCTGGTGTGACATGAGGAGCGGGGTCTGTCGCTGGTATGACACGGAGAGCAGGGTCAGTCACAGCTGCTGTGACACGGAGAGCAGGGTCAGTCACAGCTGCTGTGACACGGGGAGCAGGGTCAGTCACAGCTGGTGTGACACGGAGAGCAGGGTCAGTCATTGGTGTGACACAGGGAGCAGGGTCAGTCACTGGTGTGACACAGGGAGCAGAGCCAGTCACTGGTGTGACACAGGGAGCAGGGTCAGCCACAGCTGGTATGACACGGGGAGCAGGGTCAGTCACTGGTGTGACACAGGGAGCAGGGTCAGTCACTGGTGTGACACGGGGAGCAGGGTCAGTCACAGCTGGTGTGACACGGAGAGCAGGGTCAGTCACTGGTGTGACACAGGGAGCAGGGTCAGTCACTGGTGTGACACAGGGAGCAGAGCCAGTCACTGGTGTGACACAGGGAGCAGGGTCAGCCACAGCTGGTATGACACGGGGAGCAGGGCCAGTCACTGGTGTGACACAGGGAGCAGGGTCAGTCACTGGTGTGACACGGGAAGCAGGGTCAGTCACAGCTGGTGCGACACGGAGAGCACAGTCAGTCACTGTGTGACACGGGGAGCAGGGTCAGTCACTGGCGTGACACGGAGAGCAGGGCCAGTCGCTGGTGTGACACGGGTAGCAGGGTCAGTCACAGCTGGTGTGACACGGAGAACAGGATCAGTCACTGGTGTGACACAGGGAGCAGGGTCAGTCACGGCTGGTGTGACACGGGGGGCAGGGTCAGTCACTGTTGTAATACTGGGAGCAGGCTTGTCAGCGACCTTCTGGCACGGTTTTTAGGTCTACGGTCTTCTGTCATGCGTATTAATCAGTGTGTCTGACTCAAATGACAATCGAGAATGTCAACCTCGCGCCGAAACTCAGACTTCGCTGTTGATGACAACGCTGAATACAACAACAAAGTCGCGGAGCGGTGTTGGTAACCGATGCATCCTCATCACACACCCTCACCAGTTTCTCTCTCCTGTGCAGGCGTTAACGCCAACCACAAGCCGGTGGAGACGATGGACCCAGGTGGCAGCACTTTCGCCCGCCAGGTGTCCGGCGTCATCAACAACGTCTTCACCCCGGCCGGCCTGCGGGTGGGTGTCGCGTGACCGTCGCACTGACGGTCACGTGGGGTATGACGGGTGGCGCCGTCTGAGATGGCGTCCAGGCGAGTGCTGGCGGCGGCAGGACCTGGTGGAAGTTTGGCCATGTACACTTGGGTGTGGTCGGCAAGGATTTGTCGGCCTGCACTTGTGCGAGCTCCTGGGCCATTCGTTTTTTGTGGTGCATTATTTGTGCGTAAACGTCTGCGGGCCGGGAATTCTTTGTGCGTGTCCCTGCGCTGCTCCGTTTAGGTCTTTCCTCTGTCTGTCGTGCTCCATTGACAGCAACTTCTCCGTCTGCCCGACAGGTGGAACGATGGTCGCGACTGCCGTACCTCTGCGAGGGAGATCTGGAGCAGGCCTTCTACTGGCTCAGTGATGCCGTGTTCGTGCTGCGACCGGAGTCAGAGGTCACGGAAACGCGGCCGGAGGTCACGGAGCCGCGGCCGGAGGTCACGGAGCCGCGGCCGGAGGTCAAGGAGCCGCGGCCGGAGGTCACGGAGCCGCGGCCGGAGGTCACGGAGCCGCGGCCGGAGGTCAAGGAGCCGCGGCCGGAGGTCACGGAGCCGCGGCCGGAGGTCACGGTCGGCTCCTGTCCAGCGGGACTGGACGTCCCCGGACTGGCGGGTCCCAGGCGTCATCCGGGAGATGCCAGCCTCTGGGGTCAGTAGGCCAGGAGTGCCGTGGAAGGGACGATCTCGCGCCAGAAGTGGCCTGCGGCGAAGTGGCCTGCGCACTTCGCGGTATTTGTACATGACGGGGTCCTGACTGGAGCCATACCACAAATAGCAATAATGGGGCGTGTCGAAGTGCGTCAGTCGAGAAGGCTGCTCACACCAGACTGGTATCTGCTTGCTGTGTGACCCTTCATTCTACGTCCAGTGTGACACTTTTGAAGAATCCAAACATGAGAGAACATCCATGTCCTCGCCGCTTTCATCCCAACTGCGCACGGTATAACGCGTATGTTGTGTCTGATTGACTTCTGCGTGAAACAACAGGCTGGAAATAGCGTAAAGGGATGCTGTAGGAGACATCAGGCTGGAAATAGTGTAAAGGGATGCTGTAGGAGACATCAGGCTGGAAATAAAGCAAAGGGATGCTTTAGGGGACATCAGGCTAGAAATAAAGGGATGCTTTAGGATATATCAGGCTGGAAATAATGCAAAGGGACGCTTTAGGAGACATCAGGCTGGAGACAAAGGGATGCTTTAGGAGACATCGAAGGGGGTTTAGGCGGCATCACGGATGTGAAAATTGTTGGGAATATCGTCCTCGCCTGGTGCGTTAGTATGATACAAGGTGTACACACTCGCACACCACACGAGGGTGGTGGATGTAGCAGTTATTCCACCCGTGAAATCGCTAAGCACTTAGCCGTCGTTGGCTGAGGGGTGGATGCCGCCCCAGGGGCAGTTTTCAGACCACGAGAACGATCAGCGGTAGCGGCGTGAAATCTGCACAGCTGGTTGTACGTTCATTCCGTATGTGTTGAAAAACACGATACCACTTTATGTCACATTGCCGAACTATGACGTTGCTAACGGCCGGGAGGTCGATTTTTACGATGAATTGTGCTTTTTGCCGTCCATGAACAGAAAATGAGAGCTCTGGTCATGAAATCGTCACATGGGGATAGTTTAGGTCACACCGGTCCTTTATAGAAGTTATTTACGTTTTCTAGGTTCATCACGGTCAAAGATCTATGATCACATCATTTGATGTTAAATCGATGTGACGTCATGTTGCACTGAATCGGATCGAGAACGCAGTCTTATGCCGATGTAGGTATGAAAATGCGGTTCTAGAGCCCATAAAGCTGCATGATGATGGTGATGTTGATTTTGAGTTTTAGGGTACATCAACGGCAAATGGTCATGTCGCGCCCATCCCAGAAAGCTGAAATGTTCCATTTTGTGTGCTGAAATACCCCTTTTGTGTTCTGAAGCATGACTAAGACATGGGTCGGACCTGACCTGAAGGGTCACCGGTCGACATCAAGCTGCCACTCCGGACTTTGTCGGATCTCTTGAACACCACGCAGAGGTGTCTGTTATGCGGCTCTGGCTCCACTTGAGGCTAGCGGGGGGGGGGGGGGGGCAAGGGGCTGCGTCTACCACCCGATACCCGGGGTGGTAGGGGGCCAATGCAACAAGTGGAAATAGTCCGACCAGGGTAAGACAGTCCCTTCCATCATACAATAAAGACTTGGTGGAACTGGTGGAAGCATAACCATGGGTATACGCCATATATGTTGTGACAACCTCAACTAACCCCCTGACAACGGTTAAGTTAAGGTATGCATGTTCTACGTGTGATGCAAGACTGAGCACAGCATTCATTTTGCTTGGTGCGGGAGACTCCGGGCGACGATGGGCTCCAGGTACCGTTGCTCTGTTTAGCAGTGCGGGTGTGGTCAGCCGGAGACCCCGTCTCTGGCAACGCGCGCCGGCGCGGTCAACGGACCGGCACCGCTCGGGCAGGTCAGGGGCGGCGCCGGACACGGGGCTGCAGGGTGAAGGCGGCATTTAGCGCGACGTTTACAGCCGGCTGGCGGGTCTGGCGGTGATCCACGCCACACGAGGGTGCTGGCAGGTGTGTGCGTACGCGTTTCCAATATACGTATTTTTACGACTGTAGTTTTTAAGAGGCGAAGAACGAGTGGACGCCGTGCCGCACTTGGGATGCGGTGGTTTGTCTCACCCCTGACACTGACCCTTCCATCCCACGGTGATCCCCTACATGAACCGGCTGGCGTGCGAGTCTGCCCGAAGTCGGTACAGAAGAGCTTTTGTAGAGTCCCGCTGGCTGTCGCTGAACGCTGGACGGCGGAGCAATCACTGCCCACAGATACACGAAGCCCTCAGAGGCGCGGCCGGCTGGGCTGGACTGCTGGAGCCGCGGCATTGCCGTTCAGTTAACGCCCGGACTCGCCCGTCTCGCGGTCCGGAAGTCACTTCCGTCAAGACAGAATGGCACAGGCGTCCCTTCAGGCGCATGGACGCTCGCTGAGTGCGTGGTGTAGCGCCACGCGACTTCCTGCCCGCACCTGACCCGTCTGAAATCGCTGGCTGCAGACCACGCGTCCTCGGCAACCAATCAGCCTGTCATGCCCTCCCCTCTGTCTGCCTTCCACAAACCAATTCAGAATCGGGCTGCCATGTATTTCTGAGCGTAGCATAAAAAGTAGGATTACAGCGACTTCTGGGACGATGGCCGGTGCCGGTGCTAGCATTCCACTGTTCCTCCCAGGCCTGCTTCTCCGAGGGACCATTCCAGGACCAGGTCCTTACGTCGGCCGGCTGAGGAGGGAGGCGGGGGAGGGTACGGAGGGTCTCGAGTTGTGGAGACGGTCTCCAGCAGAGCTTCTAGGCGACGCAGACCCGTGTCGAGGGCAGCCGACAGCCGTCAGTCGGTTAACACCGGGCGGACCCCACAGCAGTCGGACAGACGTCCTCACTCCTGACCTTGGGCTGGACAGACGTCCTCACTCCCGACCTGGAGCTGGACAGACGTCCCCACTCCTGACCTGGAGCCGGACAGAGTCCAACTCCTGACCTGGAGCCGGACAGACGTCCTCACCCCCGACCTGGAGCTGGACAGTCGTCCCATTCCTGACCTGGAGCCGGACAAACGTCCTTACTCTTGACCTGGAGCTGGACAGACGTCCTCACTCCTGACCTGGAGCAGAACAGACATCCCACTCCTGACCTGGAACTGGACAGACGTCCCACTCCTGACCTGGAGATGGACAGTCGTCCCATTTCTGACCCGGAGCTGGACAGATGTCCTCACTCCTGACCTGGAGCCGAATAGACGTCACACTCCTGAACTGACGCTGGACAGACGTCCGCACTCCTGACCTGGAGCTGGACAGACGTCCTCATTCCTGACCTGGAGCCGGACAGACGTCCTCCCCCTGACCTGGAGCTGGATAGTCGTCCCATTCCTGACCTGGGGCCGGACAAACGTCCTCACTCCCGACCTGGAGCTGGACAGTCGTCCTCACTCCTGACCTGGAGCTGAACAGACGTCCCCACTACTGACCTGGAGCTGGGCAGACGTCCCACTCCTGACCTGGCGCTGGACAGACGCCCTCGCCCCTGACCTGGAGCTGGACAGACGTCCTCACTCCTGGCCTAGAGCTGGACAAACGTCCCACTCCTGACCTGGAGCTGGACGGACGTCCCCATCCCTGGCCTGGAGCTGAACAGACGTCCCCACTCCCGACCTGGAGCCGAATAGACGTCCCACTCCTGACCTGGAGCTGGGCAGACGTCCCACTCCTGACCTGGCGCTGGACAGACGTCCTCGCCCCTGACCTGGAGCTGGACAGACGTCCTCACTCCTGGCCTAGAGCTGGACAAACGTCCCACTCCTGACCTGGAGCTGGACGGACGTCCCCATCCCTGGCCTGGAGCTGAACAGACGTCCCCACTCCCGACCTGGAGCTGGACAGTCGTCCTCACTCCTGGCCTGGAGCTGAACAGACGTCCCCACTCCTGACCTGGTGCTGGACAGACGTCCTCGCCCCTGACCTGGAGCTGGACAGACGTCCTCACTCCTGGCCTAGAGCTGGACAAACGTCCCACTCCTGACCTCGAGCTGGACAGACGTCCCCATCCCTGACCTGGAGCTGGACAGACGTCCCATCCCTGATCTGGAGCCGGACTCACGTTCGCACCCCTGAGGACCAGCTGCCCCCGCTCCCTGCCTCCCAAACGCAGCCTTTTTGGCAGCAGCCACCGCCCGCGTCAGCACCTCTGCGCATTAAGTCATTAGTCTACAGCCAAGAACGCCGCCGCCGCGCCGCTCCGGAGGCGGTCGTGAAGTCACACGGTGATACTGCATCCCAGGCCCACCCCGATCGCCAGTGACGGATATCAAACATAACATGAGCAGAACACATTCAATGCAATAGATTTCCAGACGTTCCGCCCCGGGGCGCGACCGGCTGAATCTGGGGGCGGGGTGTGGCCGGGCGGCGCGCGCTCTGGCACCCCGCCTCATACTCGTCAGCGCTGGCGCCAGCGTCTCGCCGAGGACAGGTGGCGCCACTGCGGCCGGCGGGCGCGCACGGGCCTCTCACTCTCACTCGCACGCAGACGGCACCTAGCCGAACGTGTACTGGAAACCACCGCCGCCGCCGCCGTGGCCGAAGTCGAACGGCTGCTGGCCGCCCATGTTGAACCTGCAACCGGGTCGGCGGGGGTGAGCGGCTACTAGACCACAGCACTGGAGAGAACACAGAACACAGGAAAGAACGCGGCGAGCCTCACTGGGACGACAGACCTCATCTGCCGCTCCCTGGCCGGGATCCAGACCGTGCGCTAGCTGACCGTTCAATACCGGCCTCGGTTCGACCGGCCGCCTCAGGTAGCCCTGAATGGGGTGGTCGCGATAAAACCCAGCCGGTGGATAAAAATACAGAGGACACGATATTTGCCCCGCTATAGGCGGTCCTCTGGGTATTGGTAACCTTTCCAATGCTGCTGATTTTACTCATAGGTGACAGGTTTCGAGTCACTGAACTCCTATAAAGAAGAAGGGAATTCGTGAGAAGCAAACGGTTTGCCCCCGCGAAGTTCTCCAGTGAGCATGTGGCACCACACACCCTTCGCGCACAATACGCGGCCCACCGACCAGTCGGACCACGCAAGACTGGATCGTACACGGTACCAGTCCAAACCACATCGGACCGGTCCAGACCGCACCAGACCGGATCACATCAGACCAATCCAGGCCACACCAGGTCAGACCAGCCCAGGTCGCACAGACACACGACACCGGATCACATCAGACCAGTCCCGACCACACCACGCACACGAGACCGGATCACGTCATACCGGTACAGGCCACACCAGATCAGACCAGTTCAGACCGCACCAGGCCCTCGCTGCCTCACCTGAAGCCGCCGGGAGCCTGGCCTCCAAAGAACGCCTGGAATATGTTGCTGTGGTCGACGTCGGCGCCGGAGAAGCCGTCCGCGTCGTCCAGGTCCTGGCCGGTGTCGTAGCGGGCGCGCTTGTTGCGGTCCGAGAGCACGCTGTACGCCTCGCCCACCTCCTTGAAGCGGTGCTCCTGCTCCTTGCGCTGCTCCGGCGAGGCGTTCGAGTGCCGGTCTGCAAGGTCGCGGAGGTGTTCAGTCGTAAAGAGCTCGGCCAGCGGCAGTCACGCTCCGGCGGGGTGTCGGCCACGAGCATCGACACATTTCAGCGACGCGGATTCCAATCTGGATACGGCAGGTGGGAAACAGGCGGGCTCGAACGGAACAACGGATTTTACGGCCGATGCCCGCGACGGATTAAAGGGCGGATACTGCCTAAGACGGGCCCACGAATTCAACTTAAGCCCTCTGCTAATATCGCGCATTTTTCAGCTGAACGATTCAACAAAAAATTTGGGATGAGCAGGAATAATGCCCCGCTTTGAATGGTAACCATACCCTTTCTAATGAGAAGGGTAAGGTTATTCATGGTGCACATGGTTATTCAACGTGCATTTTGATGGCATACTACATGCACGTTGAATAATTTAACTCGATTGCTTTTGCAACAAAGAAGTCCACAGCCTGATCAGGTCAGCCGGGCCCAGGTCGACTCGTTTAACCCACTCACAGTATGACTACAACGCGAGTTAAGTGATGAAAGGGCAGTTTTATGGACCGCATCTGTACACAGCCCTCGTAGGATTTTGGGAAAGCTGGAAAAGGCATTCTGCGCGTCTACACGTGCATACAAAGCATGCCATGCATCATGCACGCACGAGTCTAGGGTCGGAGAAATTTGAACGAGGTTGCGGGCAGCCCGCCATGAGACGTCAGAAGCGCGGCGACCGACACAGAGGCGGCAGTCACGGGACTGGGCCATCTGCAGCAGGCCGGGCGGCCGGAGCTGTATCCGAGGTCCGGTCCGTGGCAAACCAGAGCACACCTCGCCGGCCCAGCCGTGCCAAAACGGATGGGATCGGATCGGGTGGGATCGGATCAGATCGGACCGGATCTGACCCCACCGACCGTGGAGTGCCGTAACGGATCGGATCCAATCAGAACGAACTGAACCAAACCAGACCGGCCGGATCGGGTCGGACCGCACCGAACCCGACCAGACTGGACTGGACCAGACCAGACCAGACCAGATCGGATGTAACCAAACCGAGCCGCGTCGCACCAAACCGGGCCGCACCTGGGTGATGCACGAGCGCCTGTTTCCGGTAAGCCTTCTTGATCTCATCGGTGGTGGCCGTTCTGCTGAGGTCCAAGATCTTGTAGTAGTCCTTGCGCTTGGACTTCTTGAGTTCGAGCTTGGCCTCGGCCAGCAGCCGGCGGTGCTCTTGACTGCGGTCCATGCTGCACACCTGGCATAGGGGGACACGTCAGCTGCCGTCGGCACGTAGCTACCCCTGGCCGCAGGCTGTGCCGCACAGCTGGGACCAGACGTGACGTCACCGCCCCTCACAGTCGGCAGCGGGGAGGCCGCGCCTGCCAGCCGCTGCTCCAACTACGGGCCGCCGATCGCCGGACAGTGTTCAGGACAGCCGGCGAGTCACGTGAAATGCAGGCTCCATCGCGTGGACGACGCGAATGTCATCCGACCAAGCTCTGGGAGATCCCCACAGCCGCGTGCTCAGTCACAGTGCGGCGGAGCTGGCCGCGGAGACCCGCTCCACTACACCCGGTCGCACATACGTCACGCAAACCCATCGCCGTTCTTCCCTAGAGACTGAACTTTCCACATATGATGTGGATCTGGTCTCGGTGTGACCAACAAATGCTCTCTGGCCAGCTCCCACTAGATCCGCCACGACCTGTCCGCCTGATCCTGAATTCGCGTCTCACCTTTTCGTAGTCTCGGACCGCCTCCTCGTACTCCTCGGTGTTCATGTGGCATTTGGCCCTTCGCAGGTAGGCCTTCACGTAGCCGGAGTCGAGCTTGATCGCCTGCGACAGAGCAAGATTCTGACCCTGCTGCGTCGGGCTCCAATGACTCGTGCCATAGTAAGTAGTCATTGACCCGGCAGCTCAGTCACATGGAGCCCCACCGCCGGTACATTATCCGAGCAGAGGCTGCGGATGACAAAACAGCAGACACGGCGCTCGGCGACAGCCATTCAGAAACTGGAGCCATCTCCATGGCCGATCTCACCACGAACCCGCCACATGATTGATCCCACACGACACATCTGCTGACATTCTGCCGGGTGAGCTCTGCAGCCCGAGGCCGGCGCCACCGAGCACGGGCGGAGGCGTACCTGCGAGCAGTCGGCCACGGCCTGCTCATTGTTGTTCAGCCGCGACTGCACGGTCGCTCTGTTGAAGAACAGCTTGGAGTTTGTGGAGCGGTTGTGAGGGTCGATCGCCAGCGCCTCCGTGTACAGCCGCAGCGCCTCCTGCAGCTTGTCCTTCTTGAAGGCCATGTTGCCCTCGTCCTTCTTCGTCTTAAGGCTCTTCGCTTGCTGAATGCCGCCACAGGAGCAGAACGCAGTCAGGACGCCGCAGATTGTTACGCTGCTCACGTGAGCCTACACAGTGTCCCCAGGCCGTCACAGCCGATATCTCGGTTTCTCCACAGCTGACTGTGTAACACGCGGTGACGACGGCCAAGGTGGCCTCCACACACGGCAATCGCAGCACACGATGCAGTAAACACGGACCGACCCGGAGCTGGCTCTGCACGAACAAGCTGCCACCCCGACTGACAACAGTCCATAAGCCTTTCACGAAGGTCCACGGGTTGTTCCATGCCGACAGCGTCCGAGGCCCGAATACATGACAGCGAAGCCGGCGACATTGACGCCGCCATCAACAGCCGGTTACCTTGTAGACGTGACGGGCGCGCTGGTGGTCGGGCGCCAGACGCAGCACCTGCTGGAAGTGCGTGAGCGCCCGGTCCACGTCGTCCTGGTAGTAGAGGCACATGCCCCTCACGTACAGCGCGTCGGCGTTCATGCTGGCGACACGGAGCGGCGCGTCAGGCGACGGCGCGCGGCCGAGCGCACGCAGCGCCTCCGTTCGCGACGAGCGAGGCGAAAACGTGACGTTCCCACTGGTCGTCACAATACAGACGTCGCAACACGCCGGCGACGCCACATCACACGCGACAGAAACACGCGCGCCGGCTCGAAAGGCCATACCAGCGGTTGGTCACGAACGGGGGACGTTACAACAATCCGGCCGCATACGCTGGTGTATGCACAGCCTGGTGCGTCACCAGCTTACAAACGCCGGCGACGCTGGTGGAAATGACGGGGGAAACGAGCCCACCTGCACTCCCCGGACCTGGACCATCGACCGCCCCCCGAGCGGGCGCCCTCCGAGTGAGCGCCCTCCGAGCGGGCGCCCTCCGAGCGGGCGCCCTCCGAATGAGCGCCCTCCGAGCGGGCGCCCTCCGAGTGAGCGCCCTCTCCGAGTGAGCGCCCTCCGAGCGAGCGCCCTCCGAGCGAGCGCCCTCCGAGTAAGCGCCCCCCGAGCGGGCGCCCTCCGAGTGACGCCCTCCGAGCGAGCGCCCTCCGAGTGAGCGCCCTCCAAGCGGGCGCCCTACGAGCAGGCGCCCTCGCCGCGCCCGGGAGCGGCCGGCGCGCTCACCTGTCGGCGCGCAGCATGTCCTGCACGATGTCCTGCGCCTCGGCGTAGCGGCCCAGCAGCACGAGGCACTCGGCCCGGCGGACCCGCAGCTGGGCGCTGCCCGTCGCCACCGTCAGCGCCCGCTCGGCGCAGAACAGCGCGCGACGGTAGTCGCCCTGCCGGCGTGGGTGCGTCACATGAGGGCTGCGCCGTAGCGGTGTGGACAGACTACAGGGGTACCCTGCTGGGGTGGCACGTTAGAGGGGGTTTCCTACCGGGGTAGCGCGTTAGAGGTGTACGCTATCCGCGTAGACACGCTAGAGGGGCCCCTGAAAGGGTGTACATGTTTGAGGGTACGCTGGCGGGACGGCACGTTCAGAGCTGCACACTACCGGTGTAGACACGCTAGAGGGGTTCTTGCCAGCGCACCCCTCTGAAGTGCACACCGCACATTAGAGGGGTGCCCTGCCGGGGCGGGCACGTTAGAGGGTACCTTGCTGCGGTTGACAAGCTGGACGAGTGCCCTGCCCGGTCGGACGCGTTGCAGCGGCGCCCCGCGGGGATGGAGGGGCATCGTTCGCCGGGTGGCTCTATCAGGGGACAACCCGCTGAGACTAGTCAGGGGGCAACCCGGACAACCTATCAGGGGACAGCCTGCCTGCAGACGCACACAGCCGCCTGCCAGAGCGCCGTTGCGGGCAGCCAGCGGCTGGCGTTCCAACACAGCCGTCGTCTCTCCCTGCCAAGCCAGCAGCACGAGGCGCAGCGTGGGGACGGGGGAGGGGCAGCTCGAGCTGTCAGCCGGCCGACCATTCGGCGTCAAATGGCGTGCGGACGGGCGCGGCGGCGCGGCTGCACGGGTCGTCAGGAGCCGATCGGCCGCCAGGCTGGCGCACCACATGGGCAGTTGGCAGCCGGTTGGCGTGCCCGATTGCTGCACGGCACGGCCGTTCCACACGGAGGCGCCGACGGCACGGCACGGCCGTGTTGCCAGCGGCAGGGGCGGGCCACGAAACAGAGCCCAGCGCCCAGGGCCGGACACCGCGCCGGCACCAGCGCCGACCAAGGGCGCGCGGGCCCAAAAAACTCCACAACGGAGTCCTCCAGGGGGAACCACGAGCACCGCGGGTTTGATCGCGGTGCCGGCGACCCGGTAGTTATCTCAAGCACCGTTAACCGACTGCACCCATCACCTCCGACCGGTCTGCCCACGGCGCCGCGTACCGCCCCCGCGGCTCGGCCGCCGCCACCGCCGCCGGGGCGCGCACGCGACGTGCCTGCCACGGCCCACCACCGGCCGAGAGCCGGCTGGCCCCGCTGCCCACCTTCTGCCAGGCGAGGTCGAGCTCGTGCGACAGCCGCGTCACGGCGTCCAGGTTGCGCCGCTCGGTGGCGATGCCCGGGTTATGCGACTCCAGCGCGGCCGCCTCCTTCAGCGCCGAGTCCGAGCCGGCCACGTCGCCCAGGATCACCTGGCACTTGGCGATGCGCAGCAGGCCCTGCGGCGGACACGCGGCGCCGGTCATCCGCCGGGTCACGGCCAGGTCACGCCCCGGTGCACTCAGAACCACACACACGAACCGAGGGCAGTACCAGCTGACAGGCGCCGCGCAGTCCATGCACATAGAGTAAACGAAATCACATGCAACAAACAGCAAACAAGCCGGAAGGCGGAGAGGTCCTGCTTTGCATGCCGTGGCCGCTAGCCGGCCTTACCGGCCCTGCCGCATTCCGCAAGGTTAGGCCTACATCAGACCTGTGCTTACACAACGACCCCGGACTGAGCCAGATCCCGCTGAGTCAGGACTGAGTCCATGCCTTCGCACTTATGCTCTGAGACGGAGCCGGCAAGGAGCAGCCATACGGCCGGCGAGCCGACTCAACTCTAGATCCGACGACTATAAACGTGCAACAAATGTGACACAACTACATTTGGCAATCTCGCTATCAGAATCAATGTCCTATGTAGACTCATACTGGCAATAAAACAGGATTCGCTTAGATTCTTGTCACCGTACTCTATTTTTTTAGATTAGGTTCTTGTCACCATGTACATCGGTGTGGATTCCGGAAATCAGGCTAGAGTCGGGATCGGAGTCGATTCGGAGTCCGAATCCGAATCAAGGGTGACTCGAAGTTGTGATGAGCTATTGGGTCAGTTGACATCGACCCTTGGCGGTGTTCAAGTCGGCATTGATTCGGCTGCGGCGATATCAGGCTCGAGTCCACCTGCACGCTTGACCAGGCCGACCATTCTGTGGGGGCCCGGTTCGCGTCACTGGCCACGCTGTGCTTGGAATTCTGCCATCACCGACCGTGCCGTGCTTGGAGCTCTGCCTCACCCGCCGCACTGACCTTGACGTATTTGGGGTCGAGCCGGACGGCCTCGCGCGCCTGCTGCAGCGCCTGCCTGTGCTGGCCCATCATCAGTAGACAGGCCGACCGGTTGTTGTAGTAGGTGGCCGACTGTGGGCACAGGCCTGCCGGGCGGGGGCACGGCGGTCACGATCGAGCGGCAGGGGTTAGCGCGGCGGCCGCCCGGCCACACGCCGTCCCCAGCTCGTCACTCGCGCCCGGAGTCGGGCCGAGGCGGCGGGGGCTAGCGCGGCGGCTGCCCGGTCACCCACCGCCCCCAGCTCGTCATTCGCGCCCGGAGTCGGGCCAAGGCCCGCATCCCAGTGGCGCGCTCTTCACATCCGGCGAGAGTTGCTCTTCCCACGAGTTCGAAAGATACACAAACACGGAGGTGAAGACACGCCACCGAATGAGCCCCGGAGCAGGCGCGGAGTGCGGACGCGAACTGTCACAGTCACACCGTAACGGACGCTCGTGTTGTGCTCTTACCAATGGCCTGCGAGTATAGCTCGAGTGCTTGGGTGTATTTCTTGGCGGTGTAGGCGAGATTCCCTTCATCTTTTTTCTTCTCGGCGAGCCTGCAAACAGGAGCAATATTTAGCCAACGGGAGGGCGTCTGGCGCGGGTGGTGAGGGCCGGCAGGGCCGAGCGCCATGCTTGGCACCGTTGACGACACCTGACGCCGGGTCCGGCCGCGACCACCCCGCCTCCGCACCCGAGCCCAGGGGTCGGGCGGCCAGCCTGGGTGACCGCCCGGCCAGGTCAGATCCCACCAGGTCAGATCCCACCGATCAGATCCCACCAGATCCCACCCCGGCGGTAGCGACCCCGGCCGCCGACGCCAGGCCATGGGTGCAGCCCGCATGCACCAGCCGGGCGCCACCCAGTCCACCAAGCGGCGGCACTGCCAGCGGCGGCGCCCGCCGGACAGCAACCGGCGCACCGGAGCTGTCTGGCGGACAGAAGCGGTCAGCACAGGCACGCGCTGTCCGGCCGTCGGCTCACACCTGCACAAACAGGGCTGGCAAACGGACGGCGGCCGCGTGCCGGACGGCCCACCTGTCCGCTGTCAGGCGCGCGCCGCCGCCGCCGGCCGTCGTCCATGGCGCCGCTTGGCGCCAGGCCGGGCCGCACGCGCCACCGCCGCCGGGACGCCCTGACAGCGGGACGCGCTAACTGGTGAGAAGTTGGGGCGGCGCTCCAGTCACGTGGGCCTCTCGAGTTACGCCCACAAGTTAAGCGTCGGGCGGCTTCAAGCGGCCGTGCAGACTAGTCGCGCCTGAGGCACGCCGGCCGGACATCGGGATTCAGTCCGCCCCCGCAGGAGCGCCGGCTTGGGCTCGGCTTCGTCGCCTGGCGTAACACGGCAGCCACACGGCACTCGGTGCGCTGGCGCAATACTGGCTCCGTTTCTGAGCGTCTGACCGATCGCGTCCTGGCACGCAACGAGTTCGATTCCAGAGCCGCGTCACGACTGGCCGTTCGGCGTCCAAATATTATGATTGCTTGCGCCAAGTGTATGCTCATTGTGCCGCCGGCCCAACAACAGCCAGCACGGCCACCATGCTTTTGTGAGACCGAAGGGGATCGAGGCGAAGCAGGGACGGATACAGCCGTGGCAGGGAGCGGGACCAAGTGTCGCCAAGAGATCCCGGTTAAAGTTTCCATGGTAGGGTACCAACTGATGAAGTATCATAGCAAAAACAATTTCTGATCGTCAGAGGTGAATGCCCTTGTGCGGATCGAGAGCTGCATTCCTTGCACCGTCATTCCGTCCTTTGGTAGGCACACCATCCATCCTGTACCCTAAAACGTCCACCACTCATAGCGTCCGACACGCGAGCAAATCGCGTCTGACACGGAACAGCGCGTGGACGCGGGAATCTAGACGGTCAACCACGACCGACCTCCGCAGCCAGCACATCACACGAACCCCGTCACGAACCCGCGTGACCTGCACCGGGAACGACTCGCTCTCAGCCCCGGGTCGGCCAGCAGGTTCGGCCACCCACCATCTGGCGAGCTTTCCGAACGCCTGCTGCTGGCCGGGACTCAGCCGCACGCGATCCGCCACCTCCTCGGCGACCGCCTCCGGCGCCGGCGCCGGCGGCGGCGGCTCGGAGCGGCGCCGGCACCACTCGCGGCGCCGGCGCCGGCGCGGCGCGTCCTCCTCGATCAGCAGCTGCGGCCGCGGCGAGGCGGAGCGAGCCTCGCGCGGCGCGGCGCGGCAGCAGCCGGCCTGGTAGCTGCGCGCCGCGCCGACCGCCGCGCGCACGCACGCGCCGGCGCCGAACGCCAGGTCGTCGCACGGGCCGCGCCGCTCGCAGCGCGCGCAGCAGTGGTAGCGGTAGCTGGCCTTGCCGCGGCTGGGCCGCGCCGGCGGCTCGGCGCTCGGCTGGCGCAGCGCCACGCGCAGCCGGGCCCAGAGGGTGGTCAGCGCCGACCCCAGCTCGGCGCCCAGCTCGACCATCGCGCGGCGGCAGCGGCGACGGCGGCGACAGCGGCGCACCACTCGCTAGCCGCGCTCCCGGCGCGACACCGGCGCCCACAGCACAAGGCAGTGCGGCACCAGATGTACCGCAGCGCGAGGCGCGCGGCGCCGGAACTCTGCACCCCGGTCTGCAGCAGCCTGCGCCGGCCCCTGCCCACTCCGGTGGACGGGCTGTTCGGCGCGCTCGACTCCGACACCGGCACCGCCGCGGCCGCCGACGCCGCCGCACTGACCACCCGCCGGCCCGGCGCGGCGTCGGCGGCGTCGGCGGCGTGCCGGTGTGACAGGCAACACGGGCTGGCCAGCTGCCGGGCGGCGACGGGCCGCGGAAGCAGCCCGGGGGAGGGGGGGGGGGGGGGGCGAGGAGGGCCGAGGACAGACGGGGGACAGGGGACGGGGGACGAGCGACACACACATCAGCAGGGACCAGACAGTGGGAGACGGGCTACAGAAAGGCATGCGGGCAAGGAAAATAAAAGGGGATGGGCGTGGGGAGACGGGGGTCCACCGAGGCTGCTCGCGGACGGCGGCGCCGGGACCAGCAGGCGATGCAAGTTCATCGAGACAAGCGGGGAAATCGGGTCCACGGAGCAGGTGGTGCTCGGAGTCCACGGAGGCGAGGGCAGGTGGACGCGGAGACCGGCGAAGGAAGCAGTCCCCGATGCACACGGAAACGACATCCTGAACAACTGGACTCAATGGTCCAGGCTGAGCGCATGCATCCGGCCTCTGCTTCTCTAATCTGGTCAGCTGACGTCCGGTGGCGAACCACGGAAAGCAAGTACTACCAGGCTTGAGCTGGAACAGCTGGACCGAAGAAATTTATCAATAGATCAATATGCTTTCAATTACGTGCAGAAAACTGCTACTGACCACTCCATCTAAATTCTTTACTATTACGGGCGCACTACGACCGACTTCCTCATCCACAAAATGCAAGCCTAGCTTTTTATAATGGTATTGACGAGCGGTTCCCAGAAAACAGGTTCCTGAAGGCTAACGAAATTTCTCTTCGAATCCACAGCTCTGAAAGGCGTCCCGGGGCCCTACCATAGGAGCCATTCGGTCAGCTTACCGGAGCCTTTCAAAAAGCCGCTCCGCTCTGCTGACCTCCAGTAAGACACCAGCTGCGCAAACAGAGACCGTCGTAAACACCTTACGCTCGGAAAGGCACGCACCAGCAGTCGTTTCCCGAGGGGCACCGAACCGTCACTCTTCTGAAGTCAACACGACCGAGGACAACGTCCCTGGAAAAGACATTCGAGTGGGCGAGTTGGCCGGGGCACGGCACGGGGCTTAAAATATCCGCACCAGCAGCCGTGCAGCGGCCCCGGCGCTCCTGGTGAGCCGGCCGACCAGTGGCCGTAGTCCAGGACACGCCGCTGTCCAGTCGCCATCAAACCTAAAGCAAGCAAAACTCGGCAGGGGCAGGACCGGGTGCTCCTCACCCAGCCCGCTCCAAAGGGGCGGGGCCGGGTGCTCCCCACCCGGCCCCGCTCCACAGGGACGGAGCCGGCTGCTCCCCACCCGGTCCCACTCCACAGGGGTAGGACGCCGCGGCCGGACGTGCGTCACCGCAGCGCGGCTCACAGCGGCGACACCGGCCCAACCGCCCGTCCGAACAGTGGGAATATCACGCAACAGAAGTACTGGACTCGGAAGCCCGGCGATAGGCTCAGAAGCCGACGTCGCCCGCCAACGAAAACGCTACTGCCATGCCGATAAGCGACACATTTTGCACGGCGGCTTCATGGCAATGCGCCACAACCAACCGCTGTCGTCTATTTGCTGCATCGGCGACGTCCGACGACTCAGGTCACAGGCCCCGAGACAGCTGACAGCGCCGGCCGATCATTTGCGGTTTTCAGCAGTTTCCACGGCCGGTTGGTGACCGTGAAGCCGAGCGGACGGCGGGGGTCCGACTGTCACCACCGAGTCCGCTGGCGGCCCGCCGACCGACAGCACAGCCGCCTTCACATACGACACAGTGCTTGGCTACCGTTCTGGTACGCCGGCCCACTGCGCACTGGTCAAAACACGGCCTCGGACACGGTAAAGCACAATTGAAGGTGGGGACGTCGCCACGATACCACGCCGAGGAAAGGCTACGGGGAGACAGACTGATGCTTAGGGGTGGGGTGGGACAATATCTTTAATTCGAAATGTCACATGGTTCACAAAATGCTAACTTAAGTCGGGAGAAACAACGTCCAAAGGAAGCGCAGGAGAGGGAAGTGGGGGCAGCCCTTGCCACCTGTTGGCGCCGTCCATCGCCCTTATTTCAGACAATATTTAATATAAGCGTGAGGCTTGTGAACGAAATAAGCCACCCAAAATGTCGTTACATTAGGCAGGGAAGTGAATTATACGCATTGTGAACCTTATTTCTACTAAGGTCTTCGTGCTGATGTCATACCAGACTTAGTACCAGTAACAATAATATATATATATATATATATATATATATATATATATATATAATATGTACACATATAATCTATACATATATTTTGGTATTCAATACAAATAGCATCATAGAGCTTGCTATGTGGGGTAGGGCAGCGCGTCGCAAAAGCATACCTTATTTCCGGCGCAAACCCGCCTCGACCGGTTGAGCGACGTCATCACACCGAGTCAGCGCTCACGATGGTCCGTGGTAACCGGCGGGGATTCCCGCCACGCAAGGCGTATGCTCTCATATGGCTCCACTGGCCTTTTTCAAACCTTCTGGGCTCACCTGACCTTTCCAAGTGGTCAAAAGAGCACACTGGGCGTGCAGCCAGCTCACCTACCGCTTCCCCTCGGCGGACAGAACGTCCCGAGAATGATGCCAGCTCGCCTGGCCTCAGTGAGCAAAAGAACGCCTTGAGAATGCTGCCAGCTCACCTGACCTCAGCGGGCAAGAGAACGCCTTGAGGATGCTGCCAGCTCACCTGACCTCAGTGGGCAATAGAACGCCTTGAGGATGCTGCCAGCTCACCTGAGCTCCTCGTCAGTGGGCAGGCCGATGAAGAGGCCGGCGGCGTGCGGCTCCTCTCCGGCCCAGGAGCCGGGCCGGCCGGCCTCAGAGTCACGGCGCACCCCACC